ATATATATATATATATATATATATATATACTGCATATCAACTTTAAAACAGTTAGTTCAAGAGTTACTTAGTCATTAGATATGTATTATTAAACGTGTCTTTTTCCTCTTTTCTTTTTCCTCAGCTCCAAAGGGGTGAAAGGAATCTTTGGAGGGAAGAAGGGCAGTGTGTCCAAACATGGCCGATCCTCACGTGGGGTGGATTCTGTGTCACAGTACGGCTCACGTATGAGCCTAGGTGAGATGTTTGTTTGTTTGTTTGTTTGTTTGTTTGTTTGTGAGTCGATCCTCACGAGGGGTGGACTCTGTGTCACAGTACGGCTCACGTATGAGCCTAGGTGAGATGTTTGTTTGTTTGTTTGTTAGGGCCTTTATTTATTCATAAGATACTCAAATCATCAGCTTCCTGGCTGTTTTTTATTAAAGTCATGAGGGTCAATATGTCTGGGTCAGTAAAAAATAACAAGATAGGTTAGATGATTGAAATCCTAACTAATGTCTAATAACATTGCACTCAGCAGAAGAAACAGTGACACCAAAAATTCTGATCCTATGTGTATAAAAGTTTGACTAGCAATCTGTTCTAGACGTCTGAGATGAAGAAAGTTAGGTTTGTGATTTTGTAGAATTTATACAATTTTGTATATCCGGCCAAAATATAGGTACAGGTAGAATCATTACACATCAATACAAAGATGCCACCTGCCAACATGGATGAGTACTGCAGGCAGAAAAGCGATGTAGGGTGGATCATTCAACATCTAGACATGGGATTATACTCATTGATAGTTTTCATGAAATTAAAGATTTATATCTGACTTAAATTAGTTCAATCATCTGCGGTGAATGTCACTGATCACAATATGCATCACACACACAAAAACAAATACGTCATGCTGCAAAGTCAAGTGGCGTATGTCATCCAAGTACAGAAACAACATGTGGCAGGTGTGCCTATTGGTTTTCAATATAACCACCCAGTCTTCCCCGCACAATTAGCTCACCAAACAATAGACAACCGTAAGTCTTAAGGGAATCTGCGACACCCACGTGCTTCACTGATGACAGATGCTAAGGCCACAGCAGTTTTATCAATTGGTTCATTTTTTTTTCTGATTTGCAAAAAAAAAGGATTCAGATTCTGAATTAACTCCAAAATGCTCATATTTTTCAACAGTTGGGGAAAGTCTTCATAGCTGGTTTTCCATCTAACAATGTAGTACTTATTAGTAAAAGTTCAAAATTTATTATATGAATTACAAACCAGCCTGGTACATATGTATGTTTACTTCTTGGCTCCTATTGTACATGTAGCATGTAGGGTCATCAGAGGATACCTTGCCTGTTTTTTCACTTTCTGAAAAACACTGAGAACCAATAAATCATTTTGGTGTGGCCTAATTCTGCAGCACCGGGAGTTAGTATATAGCATCCAATATCTCCACTGCCAATGGCATGAGGCTGTTTATATGAGGCTTTGTGCGTGGCTGTGTCAGAACCATCAATCTCGGCACAGCGTCACTCGTTGCCTCTGGCCCCGGAGGGTTTTAATCAATGATTTGCGTCACGAACACTGCAGCGTATTGATCCCGACGTGCAATAACGTGGTCGGTGATGAATGGGAACAGGAAATTAGCTTTCGCGGGCACACATACGTGTATTACGCTGGGGAGCCCCGGGGAGACCTGTATCTAGGGCTCACATCTGCACAGTAAAAGTTTGGAATTGGATGAGGACAGACGTATGCTGGGTACAGAGAGAAGTTTGAGAGATTTTTTTCTTCTTCTCCATCTAGAGCAGTGAACCTTTGGAAAAGTTGAGAAAAATTTTTCAGACTTTTCAGTATGTATGTGAATTTCAATTTGTCCTATCACTGTGTCAGTCAATATTTCCTTAATACAACAAATGAAAAACTAAATGAAAACTTTTTTAGTCTGCAATGTGGTATAATTACTAAAGATCTGCACAGTAAAAGTTTGGAATTGGATGAGGACAGATGTATGCTGGGTACTTATGCAAGGCTCTAGCCAGCACCAGTCTTTCTGTCAATTACCGGAACTTTGCGGCGTGTGACAAAAATTTTTAAAACCAATCTGTCAACCTTGACTGACAAAATTAACAAAAATCTTGGGTGGAAATATAAAAACATGTGAAGGACCACCAACAACCACTCTCAACTCCATGATTTGCCTCTCAAAATGCAGGAAATTGCATTTTTGAAGGCTTGAAAATCCAAAAGATTGTGAGCTCCCCAAATCCGATGACAAACCTGCGGTGACAAAAAATATTTCAAGTTGGCTAGTGGCAGAGCCTGGGTACAGAGAGAAGAGAATTTTTTTTCTTCTTCTCTAGGAGAGCAGTGAACCTTTATGAGGAAAAGTTCAAGAAAATTTTGAAGTTTATCAGACTTTTTGATATGTACCTGAATTCTAATTTGTCCTATCACTATATAATTATTAACTTGATATTGAAGTTTGCTGTTGGAGTAATAAACAATTTCCAAAATACAATGTACATGTATAACAAATGCAAATACTGACTCAATTAAAACTTTCAAGTCTGCGGTATCAAGTAATTACTAAAGATTTCAAAGATATCTGATTCGAAGACTTTATTTTGTTCAATGGTGTCACCCAGGATCTATACCAGACCTGTACTTTAAATGTCCATTGCATGGCACACTATACATCAGTCTACATTTAGTTTTATTTTTGGTTATTTTGATTTTTTTTGTTCCCAATCTATTCATGTATCTTTCTATTTTCTGTACAGTCATGTTCTTTCTGTCCTTTTTTCTGTCACAAGGGATGAGAAGTCAGTTTTCTGACAGGCTGGAATCTGGATGATGACAAGTCATTTTCAGGGCTGCTGATGTGGCAATGTTTCTTACGTTCACCAAACCAAAAAAGTGCATATTTGCCATATCTCTTAATAACCTAAGTTTCATGATATTTCAAAATGCTCATTTCATATTTTAATGTTTGAGATTCTCAGCATGTTTATATGATAGCAATTTATTAGCCAAAAAGCTAAATATTCTGCATTTTGATTTGATAAAATTTCCTTTTTCCCAACCACTTCTACTTTCATGATATTTTGCTACCTGTACATTCATTTTTTCTTAATCTAAGCTGAACCTGCAGACGTAATGACAACTTACACAAGTTGGATCTTCTCAATTTCTTCATTAAAGCTCAAGATACATGTGAAGGTATTGAAGTTGAGTGATCCAGTGTGTGACAAAATTCTAATTCCTGTTAAGTCCTCTGTCACTCCTGGCTTACACATATGTCAATGCCTAGTACTCATTTCAGTTATTCATTAACTTCCAAACAGTAATCTCTGTGCTGTAAATATATTAATTAGACACAACATTGCTGTCATGTTTGGATATCACTTCTACGTATGGAAGTATTGTTTGAGTGGGTTGTCTGTGGGATTGTGTGTCTGTTTGTGTGGAAAGAATAGGTTGACAGCACATGGGTGGGCGGGGAAAGATTGATGGTCTGAATAACAGGAGGTCAGTATGTCAATAAACTTTTAAGGTCAGCACAAATGAGAGATTGGAATTCAGGAAGCTGAGGAATGGATGCTATATCTAGAAGTCCAAACATGTCGACTTGCTTTTGAAAGGTAGCATTAGTCCTCTCCTTGGTGCTAAAGACAGCGATGCTTGCCTTCTCATTGGTTAAAAGTCAAAACTGAACATCAGAGTTAGGTTATATCAAGGTCAAAAGGTCACACACCTGAAAAGGGCTGATCTTGAATGTCATAAAGTCTGAAATTTCTTATTTCTTGTTTTGTTTTTGTGTTCTATAAAGGCTCCACAGATGAGATCCACATCAGAGACGGCGGCGGTGGAGGCTCCCAAGACAACGTGTCGATGACAAGCGTCAACCAGAACGTCACCAACAAGAAGTGAGTCATTTTTTATCTTTCTATCTTTATCTCAAATTGTTCGTTTTATAACAACGCTCGAAACAAGCTGAATATTCAAACTTCTACAATTTATCCCAATTTCTTTAAACTTAGGCCACACCAATTTAATTTGTTGGTTCTCGGATTCGCCTCTTCGTTTTTTTCTGATTTGCAAAAAAAAAAAAATTGATTCTGGTCC